TAATTAGTAAACTACGAATTGCCATATTTAATGTTAAATTAAAATGACTAAACTACGAATTGGCGTATTTAATGATAAATGAAAATGAGTAAACTACGAATTGCCATATATAATGTTCAATATAATGAATAAATTTCGAATTGTGGTATTTAATGTTAAATTAAAATGACTATACTGCGAATTGTGGTATATAAGGTAAAATTAAAAAGTCTAAACTACGAATTGCCTTATTTAATGTTAAATTATAATCAATAAACTACGAATTGCGGTAAGTAATGTTAAATTAAAATTACTAAACTACGAATTGCGGGTGTTATTGTTTAATTATAATGAATAAACATCGAATTGCGGTTGTTAATGTTATATTATAATGACTAAACTACGAATTGCTGTATAAAATGTTAAATTAAATTTTCTAAACAATGACTAAACTGCGAATTGCCGTATTTAATGTTTAATTATAATGACTAAACTACGAATTGCCAAATTTAATGTTAAATTAAATTTCCTAAACAGTTTATCATAAAATGACTAAACTGCGAATTGCCGTATATAATGTTAAATTAAAATGACTAAACTACGAATTGCCGTATTTTATGTAAAATTAAAATGACTAAACTGCGAATTGCGGTATTTAATGTAAAAATAAAATGACTAAACTGCGAATTGCCGTATTTAATGATAAATTAAAATTAGTAAACTACGGCCGTATATAATGATTAAATAAAATGAATAAACTACGAATTGCCGTATATAAGGTAAAATTAAAATGACTAAACTACGAATTGCCGTATATGATGTTAAATTAAAATGACTAAACTGCGAATTGCCGTAATTTATGTTAAATTAAAATGACTAAACTACGAATTGCGGTTGTTAATGTTAAATTATAATTAGTAAACTACGAATTGCCATATTTAATGTTAAATTAAAATGACTAAACTACGAATTGCCGTATATAAGGTAAGATTAAAATGACTAAACTACGAATTGCCATATTTAATGTTAAATTATAATGAAGAAACTACGAATTGCGGTAATTAATGTTAAATTAAAATTACTAAACTACGAATTGCGGGTTTTATTGTTTAATTATAATGACTAAACATCGAATTGCGGTTGTTAATGTTATATTATATTGACTAAACTACGAATTGCTGTATAAAATGTTAAATTAAATTTTCTAAACAATGACTAAACTGCGAATTGCCGTATTTAATGTTTAATTATAATGACTAAACTACGAATTGCCAAATTTAATGTTAAATTAAATTTTCTAAACAGTTTATCATGTTAAATTAAAATGACTAAACTGCGAATTGCCGTATATAATGTTAAATTAAAATGACTAAACTACGAATTGCCATATATAATGTTGAAATATAATGAATAAACTACAAACTGCGGTATTTAATGTTAAATTAAAATGAATAAACTACGAATTGCCGTATTTTATGTTAAATTAAAATGACTAAACTGCGAATTGCCGTATTTGATGTTAAAATAAAATGACTAAACTGCGAATTGCCGTATTTAATGTTAAAATAAAATGAGTAAACTGCGAATTGCCGTATTTAATGATAAATGAAAATGTGTAAACTACGAATTGCCGTATTTGATGTTAAAATAAAATGACTAAACTACGAATTGCGGTAATTAATGTTAAATTAAAAAGTCTAAACTACGAATTGCCATATTTAATGTTAAATTATAATCAATAAACTACGAATTGCGGTAAGTAATGTTAAATTAAAATGACTAAACTACGAATTGCCGTAATTAATGTTAAATTAAATTTTCTAAACAGTTTATGATGTTAAATTAAAATGACTAAACTGCGAATTGCCGTATTTAATTGTTAATATGACCGATTAATACTAACCTTTAAATTGTTTTTTTTATGTTGATATAAATTGATTTTTTATAAATTGATAGATTGATTTTTTTTTATATAAATTTTTATATATTTTGTTATATAAAGCAGATTTTTTTTAGTTTAAAGAAGGATGTAAAATTTAAAAATATATATTGTATAAAATTAAATAATTTATTTAAATAAACGATTTTTTATATAAACTAATCTTCTAAAATACTTTATGGATTACATCAAATATTCAAAGATACTTCATGGTGGCAGCGGTGGGATTCGAACCCACGACTCCGAGGAGACTAATGACTAAACTGCGAATTGCCGTATTTAATGATAAATTAACATTAGTAAACTACGAATTGCCGTTATATAATGTTAAATTAAAATGACTAAACAACGAATTGCCGTAATTAATGTTAAATTAAAATGACTAAACTGCGAATTGCCGTATTTAATGTTAAAATAAAATGACTAAACTACGAATTGCGGTAATTAATGTTAAATTAAAAAGTCTAAACTACGAATTGCCATATTTAATGTTAAATTATAATCAATAAACTACGAATTGCGGTAAGTAATGTTAAATTAAAATGACTAAACTACGAATTGCGGTTGTTAATGTTAAATTATAATGAGTAAACTACGAATTGCCATATTTAATGTTAAATTAAATTTTCTAAACAGTATATGATGTTAAATTAAATGACTAAACTGCGAATTGCCGTATTTAATGATAAATTAAAATTAGTAAACTACGAATTGCCGTATTTAATGTTAAATTAAAATGACTAAACTACGAATTGTGTTATATAAGGTAAAATTAAAATGACTAAACTACGAATTGCCATATTTAATGTTAAATTATAATCAATAAACTACGAATTGCGGTAAGTAATGTTAAATTAAAATGACTAAACTGCGAATTGCAGTATATAATGTTAAATTAAAATGACTAAACTACGAATTGCCGTAATTAATGTTAAATTAAATTTTCTAAACAGTTTATGATGTTAAATTAAAATGACTAAACTGCGAATTGCCGTATTTAATTGTTAATATGACCGATTAATACTAACCTTTAAATTGTTTTTTTTATGTTGATATAAATTGATTTTTTTATAAATTGATAGATTGTTTTTTTTTATATAAATTTTTATATATTTTGTTATATAAAGCAGATTTTTTTTAGTTTAAAGAAGGATGTAAAATTTAAAAATATATATTGTATAAAATTAAATAATTTATTTAAATAAACGATTTTTTATATAAACTAATCTTCTAAAATACTTTATGGATTACATCAAATATTCAAAGATACTTCATGGTGGCAGCGGTGGGATTCGAACCCACGCCTCCGAGGAGACTAATGACTAAACTGCGAATTGCCGTATTTAATGATAAATTAACATTAGTAAACTACGAATTGCCGTTATATAATGTTAAATTAAAATGACTAAACAACGAATTGCCGTAATTAATGTTAAATTAAATTTTCTAAACAGTATATTATGTTAAATTAAAATGACTAAACTACGAATTGCCATATTTAATGTTAAATTATAATGACTAAACTACGAATTGCGGTTTATAATGTTAAATTAAATTAAATAAACTACGAATTGCCGTATTTAATGTTAAATTAAATTGTCTAAACAGTATATGATGTTAAAATAAAATGACTAAACTGCGAATTGCCGTTATATAATGTTTAATTATATAGACTAAACTACTAATTGCTATTGTTAATGTTAAATTATAATGACTAAACTACGAATTGCCGTATATAATGTTAAATTAAATTTTCTAAACAGTATATGATGTTAAATTAAAATGACTAAACTGCGAATTGCCGTATATAATGTTAAATTAAAATGACTAAACTGCGAATTGCCGTATTATATGTTAAATAAAAATGACTAAACTACGAATTGCGGTTGTTAATGTTAAATTATAATTAGTAAACTACGAATTGCCATATTTAATGTTAAATTAAAATGACTAAACTACGAATTGCCGTAATTAATGTTAAATTTTCTAAACAGTATTTAATGTTTAATTATAATGACTAAACTGCGAATTGCCGTTATATAATGTTAAATTAAAAGACTAAACTACGAATTGCCGTAATAAATGTTAAATTATATTTTCTAAACAGTATATGATGTTAAATTAAAATGACTAAACTGCCAATTGCCGTATTTAATGTTTATTTATAATGACTAAACTACGAATTGCGGTTGTTGATGTTAAATTATAATGAGTAAACTACGAATTGCCATATTTAATGTTAAATTAAAATGACTAAACTACGCATTGCCGTAATTAATGTTAAATTAAAATGTCTAAACAGTATATGATGTTAAAATAAAATGACTAAACTGTGAATTGCCGTTATATAATGTTAAATTATAATGACTAAACTACTAATTGCGATTGTTAATGTTAAATTATAATGACTAAACTACGAATTGTGGTTGTTAATTATAATGACTAAACTACTAATTGCCGTATATAATGTTAAATTAAATTTTCTAAACAGTATATGATGTTAAATTAAAATGACTAAACTGCGAATTGCCGTATTTAATGTTAAAATAAAATGACTAAACTGCGAATTGCCGTATTTAATGATAAATTAAAATTAGTAAACTACGAATTGCCTTATATAATGGTTTGTTATAATGAATAAACTACGAATTGCGGTATTTAATGTTAAATTAAAATAACTAAACTACGAATTGCCGTATATAAGGTAAAATTAAAATAACTAAACTAAGAATTGCCGTAATTAACGTTATATTGTGATAACTTAACTGTGATATAAACAAAATGATGATAATAAATAAACTTGGGCAATCAAATTAGATTTTATCAACTATTTTACCATACATTTACACTATATTTCCCTGAAAACAAAATTTAAACATTAACACCTATTATAAAGTATATCATTTATTTCTTATTTTATTTATAAAATTGACTACAATTTTGATCATTTATAGACATAATCCTCTCTATATATCAAAAAAAAAGACTATTTAGATATTAATTAGGTTATTTATTTTACAATTTCAAAATATAAGAATAAAAAAAAATGTAAATATGAAAATAACATAATTATTGACCCATTATATTTTAAATATATATATATATTTATTATAAATAATTAATTTAGTTCATAAATTTACAAAATATACATTGATTAATTTTCAAAAAATTAAATAACTAAAATAGTAAAATATTTAATAAGTTGTTTTGTTCATCATGCTGGGAACCTTTTTAACTCCATACGAAATTTTCATACGAGGCTTTTATGAATGCATTTTATAAAATATATATTTTGTGTCATAATTTTAAAATGAAAATGAGTTATACCATAAATCCTTTTGTCTTATTCGAAGCTCGGGTAGGTAGATCCGAATTACGCTTAGATTCATATATCAATTCCCTCTAATATTCTTTATCGATCATTCTAATAACATATTAAAATGTCATATTTTTAAAATAAAATTAGTGAGTGGTATGCCATGGCTAAAAGAATCTCAATATTTTTATATTTATTAATTCCCCTCTTATTTATCTTTTACACTATGTGTATTTTAATATAAATTAATATCTATAAACCTGAAAAATTATCTCAAATTATTAAAATATTTTACAAATATATTTTGCATTTAACATTAATTCAATTATATAGAGGTAACAGAAATGTTAAAATAAATTTAATTCGGTGAGCGGGTCAAGTCATATTATTCAAAATTAGAACATATATAAATAAACAAATAATTATTTTATATTATGGGCGTGGTAGGACAATTTTTTTAATGAGCAAATTTTTAAAACAAAAGACGTGGTAGCCGATTTTATTTAGAAATTATCTCAATGAAGACCTCTAATTTTCGATCATAATAAATCTCACTATATTCATATTATATATTATATCATATATTTATAAAGAAAAATAAATATAATACAAAAAATTAATTTACCATCATCGTTAGTACCATATTAATTTATCAGCGCAACATAACTATCTACGGTGGCCTTTTTCCCCTCATAATTTTTTTCACATTCAAATCACTTATTTTATGTCCCTATGAATTTTATCGGTATGGACATATATATCGTGCCTTCATCACATTTCTCATCATGGAAAATATAAATATTATCATCTGTAATCTTATATATAATTATATTAATATCTTGATACCTAACAAATTATCTCAAATTATTATAAATTAAACTTTGAATCTAATATTAAATCAATCAAATAATTATAGAGGTATATTACGGGCAGGTTACAATATATTTAAATATTTAGTAGGCGTCATATATATTTAAAAAATTCCCCATTAAGCCCTATAAACCTTGCTATATTGTTTTTGTTTATTCAATAAAATTATAAATAAATAAGAATATAATTTACCAAGATTTAATTGCCATTATGCCAGGGTCAATCGACAGATATCGAAACTATGTAAATCTTTGTCTCCTCATAGTTTTTATCCCCAATAAAAGCATTAATTTGGTGTCCCATATTCGATCTCGTCATAGAATACATTTTAGTGCTTTAATGACCTTTCTCGCCATAAATAATTTATTTTATCTCCTCATGACCTATCACGCCATCAAAAGCACATATGTTTTTCGTGATCCTTCACGCTATATTATTTAATAAACTTTATAAATTTTTTTTAAATTTTCTAGATCTTCTAAATTGAGATAGTTTTTTCGAACCTTTAGGTCTCATCAGCGTTATTTTACCATATGACGATGTAATATATTTAGAGATTGTTGTTGATTTATGATTATTTGAACCTACTTCAGCTGTAGATTCCTTTATAAATTTTAAAAGGGATACCCTATTATGTTTACTTAAATCAGAATCGATATAATAATCTCCTAGTCCAATTACTGCTCGTTCTAATTCTTTTTCATAGTAAAAGACTTGATAATGGTTATTAATGTATGCAAAGGAACAACCTTTTTTATCATCATCTTTAGGCTATTCATTGATTCACTGTTGTTATTAGTATAAACTTGTGATATAAACTTGTTCTTTAAAGGTATATACACGTATTCATAAAGTTTTTTTTCGAAACTTTTAAACACATTCTTAAGAAATTTATCATATTTATTAACTATGCAAATATTTCGAAATTTTAACATTTTTTTTCTAAACATAATGTCATCAGTGGAATATAGTATTCCATTTTCACCAAAAATCATATTACTTATATATTCTCTTAATCTCATAGGGACCCCTTGACTATTTTTCAAAGAGATTGACAAATTTCTCCTCATGTGAAGTGTGCATAATAAATGTATGGAAGTATTAAAATTTTTACGTAAAGCCGAAACCATGGCAAATTCTTCGTCGGATCCGCAAATAATATTATCCACATTAATTTGGTGCTTTTTAAAAACACCCTGTAGCTCAGAAAAAAATATATTATATGTCCGGTAATCTGAAATACCGTGCAAAAATATTGGACCGAAAAATAATGGATGTACTTTATCTTTCAACCCCGTTTTACAAAGAGCTATATGCTTGAACACAGTAGGCGTCACAAAGAGTTCGCTTAAATTGTAGGTTTTATCAACGCTAAGAATACTTCGTTGCTTTCCCGTACAACAAAATTTTATATTTTCAAGCATTAAACGAGTATAAAGTACTATATCAGGTCGTATACATATATTTTTGATTATCGGATAATCATTTATATTATTTAAAATTAACAGAACTTGATCTGCAAAATTGCTACTATAATCGGCATCATTTTTGTGCAATTCGTTATATTTTAAGTTTTTAGATCCTTTTTTAATGTACAACTATATTGACATAAGCAAACTACATTATTTAAATTAGGTTGAGGGTTTATAGTACATCTATGATTGGAATTATGTATTTTTCTTAATATGTAAAATACTTTATCTATCATTATATATGGACCTTTTCTTTCGCCATTTTCTAAATCAAAATAACGGTTACTACCATCCGTTTTTTTACCTGTCCATGCTCCACAATCATCGGGGAAACAACTTTTTAAACCATCCTTATTCATTTTTAAATTAATACTATTGTTTACAATAAAAAAAGTATTATTTTTAGTCCCTTGTGGAATTGATTCTAGAATATTTTCTGGTTTCAATAACATATTCAATAATTCATTGTATGTAAATCCTTTACAATGATTCTTAGTGTATATTACACTATCAATACAGTTATCATCTAGGGAATCATGCTTTATTAGCTTATTAACCTTCATATCTTCAAAAGACTTATTTAATAATTCTTCTTTTTTATGTAAACCTTTAGAAAGGATATCTGAATATTTCACAAGATCTTCATTTAAAATATCGGATATATTAGCGGTAAAAGCCACTAAATTTTTATCTTTTATAGGCGTGGAATGTATTATTCTTTTATTATTCCACAATCTTGGTGACGGCAATTCATAATCATAGTCATCGTATATCCTTTCCGATTTAATATCCTTTATATCTGTCAAATCGACTTTATATGGATATATTAGAACAATATCTATATACTTCACAGTTTGTTCAAGTGAAATATATGATATATAATATATATCTAATATATCTGTTTTTATTATTTTCAATAAATCCTCATCTGAAATATCTGAGTAATCTTTTAATATTTCTTCATTAAATTCATTTGCTTGTGATGTTTTCAAATTATGGGTAATATTATATGGTATCGATTTAACCACGGTTTTATTATCATTTTTTTTAAATGGATATATACCTAAGAAATCAAATTCTTCGCTCGAAATATATGAACCATCATCAGAGAGTGTTGGTGGAGACTTTTGAAAATCATAATAAGTATGGTCATATATATATTTATCACATTCGATATCCAAAATATCTTTATCATCATTCTTTACCCTATATGTCTTACATACAGGTTGCAGATATATTATATGCTTACATAGCATTATCCCTATTGAGGTTTTTGTCCATAAAATATTAATGCCCACTGGTTGCCATATAGGTACAGATCTTCCATAAACCTCACGATTATATGGATTATTATCTTTGGTTTCATGAGCAACAATCATTTTATTTAGGTGATAGGACCCAATTCCTATCTGTAAAGCTGCGCTTGCAGCATATAAATGAGCCATCTCGGCCCACCCTTCAATCAGCGTCAAAACGTCCTTTAATAATTGATCATAAATAGTGTCCCAAATATTTAGGTCATTGTATTTTTTGCTTAATATATATAGGGCAGAATTTATATGGTATGTTGACTTATAACGTATCATTTCTATGGCAGTTACGCATCTTATATATAAATGATGAATTTCATCACCATAAATTGCCAATGAAAGCGCTCTATAGCAGCAGTTCCATCTCCTATGCAAGACCTAGGTGAATACCTTTTAAGTAGTTCCGGGCGAAAAGTTTCAAGCAATTTTTTAGAAATTTTATCTAATTTCCCTACATATTGATTATCATTTTCACGAGAGGGATGCTTGTAGTACATGCTAATTAAGGCTAATTCATTGTTAGACGTTGATACATCAGGGGATATTTTTAATCTCATAAATGAGTCTTCTATTTTATAACAATATCTGCAAAAATATGGTGCTTGTAATAAAGCCCAAGTTCTATAAGATTTATCAGGTACACTGAGGCAACACTTATGAACCCATGTATCACAGGTCTTGCAAATACATGCGTCAGAATTGATAACTTTTTTACATTCTTTGCAGAGTAATTTCCTATTTAAATATAAAAATTTTAATTGTATTTATATTTAAATCAGAGATGTAGGCCCAAGCCTAAGTCCGGTCCGGGTACACGAGTCGGGCCTTATTTTATTTTTTTGTAATATACAAGGACAGCGCCTTAAATTTTTTTTAAATATTCAGGCCGGGGTTATATTTATCCAAAATTAATATGTTATTTTCAATAATTCAATATTTATAAAGGTTTCATTTATATTGATCATTTATTATAAGGTTAAATATTCCTGTTATTATACAATCAGATGAACCAATTTCTAGAATGTGAATCATACGTTTATTGTATATAAACATAAGCAAAGAATTATACATTCATCTAATTGTGCTACGTAAAACGATATTATAATGAATAAAGAACAATAAAGGTATTTTTTATTTTCCCCTTTAAATTTCTTAATTTATATGGTTCCACGTCAGTTTGGCCCATAGTCATAATCACTTTAGCGCGGCGACAATTCGGCGCTTTTATATTACAGTTGCAATTTATTATAAATTTATTGGTATAAAAAAAGGATCATTAAATAGATGTCATTTTAAATGTTGGTCCTATTAATTATTTCTTCATTTTTTTTACAAATATCTTTTATTTACTAAATGTGTGATATCAATTAAAAATTTAATAATATTTTTAAAAAAATTAATAATCAATATTTATACCACTTCCTTGCTGGACCAATTTACCACATTATAAGGTATTTTGATTATTAGCCAATATTATGTAAGCCTGAAGATTTTGCGCAGTAGGAAAATTTTGGACTTCCATCTCGAATCTTACATATTATTATGGCCAAAATCTTAATCGACCGTTTTTAAAAGTAGACCCAAATCGGCCGTTTAAGAACACTAATGTTGATCCAATAAAATTAAAATTAAGACTGACTCATTTTAGATTTATTAAAAATCTAAAAAATATTTCTATTAATCATTTAAAAAAATATAAAGTATGCTTAGGCTAATTTTTCCTATTATAAAATAATAAAAAACGAATTTACCAACATTTTTTTATTTTTATATAAATCAACTATAGAAAATATAAATATACTATATAAAACATGCTAAATAATTAACATTAATTGCAAATTAAAATTATATGCGATCCCCCTTAAATAATCATTAATCGGCGATTTAAATAGTCAGATACAATTAATATAATATTTTAAGCTATATCCCGATACACCTAGCTTGATCTCGGGTGGGATATTAGAAATATATGTTGTCTAAAATTAGACGGGAAAAGGGGGATTTAATATTAAACATAATTTTGGTTTACTATCTTATCGTTTTTATCAAAGGGGTATAATGTTTTTTTAAACTTTTATAATATCATTTTCAATTAGTAAATTTTATAATTTCAACAGCCATAATATAAATAAATTGCGCGTTAATTCGTTTTTATAATATAAAAAATTGGTCTTAGCATCGGGCCGATTTGGGTCTATTTTTAAAAACGGTTGATTAAAATTTTAGCCAAAATATTTTGTTTGAAATAGAGGTCCAAACCTTTCTTACAACTATCCGCATCCAGGCTTATATAATAATGGCTACAAATCATAATAGATTAGACTGGGGTTATATAAATCCCGGGGCTTGGCATACCACTTAATCTCATTTTAAAATTAAATATACCAGAAGGTTAAAATTGTATCCTTATATAGTTTTTATTCGTTTACATCTATAAACAATAAATCTGTTGAAATATTTAATTTAATTATTACCAAATTTATATAAAAAATAAAATATTTATGAATTTTTCAAAAACTTTTTACATGACAGAATTAATTTCAATTAAAATATATAATCATTTTTATGTAAATTATTTCTTAGCAAAGTTTAAATACTCTACTATAATTTGGGAAAGTTTTATGAGTATTTATTATATCTAGATATTACTTCAACCATGATTAGTCAATTTAGAGCTAGACCGGCTTGCTAAACCATACACGTCTCTTATGGCAGTTAATAAAAAAAATTCAAAAATCATAATCTCTCCTTAAGATTCTTATTTATTTATGTCTAAATGTTTATTAAATTAACCAAAATTAAGTTTCAATTTATATATTTAGCTTCAATTTATAAGTTTATGTTTAACACTGCGCGGAATAGACGCCGCGCTGAATTGACGCTGCGCCGATTTGACGTGATACCAATTTATATAATGGTAGACCCTTTTAGAAAAATAAAATATTGAATCTTCCTATGCTTTTCATTTATGCCAAAAAATAATAATATTAGTTTCATCTACAAGCTCTCCTAGTGAGCATATATTTTCTGTAGATGGGTTAACCTTAAACTAAAAAGATCTATTTATATTGGTATAATAAAAATCAAATTTTTTCCAAAAATATTTATTCCATATGAATTATTAGTATTTAGTGTTCTTGAAATTTTATAAAATTTAAGTAGTTCTTAAGTCTATATAGAAAGATAACAGACAAATTTGAATCAATATATAATTTATTATTTTTCCCCTAAATTTAATATGGGCGAATTGGAGACAAATTAGATAAACTTTACAAAAATACAGCATATTATTACACATCGCCTAATCGTGCTAACTGTCAACCCTGCATTCACAGTTAATAAAGGTAGAACTTGAAGAATATATGAGCTACGTAGGAAAAGTTTCTTGCACAAACTTAATTTTTACAATTATATTCTTAAGCACCAAATTTCATAATAACTGATAAAATCTGTAAATATTATACAGGTGCAGAAAATTAATTTTTTCCCTAGAAAAAAAAGCAATTAGTAATTAATTTACCTATATTACATAAAAGTTAAAGCCCTATTAAAAATGTAAATGACACAAGTAGGGGAATTGTGCCATAAATGGCCATGTTTTAAAACTGGCCACCACGCTATAACTTTTTATCTATTGCACTTATTTCTCTCAAAATTGGTCAAATGTTTATATATTATCTAATTTTTTTTTTGATCGTAACATATCAACAATATGAAAAAGATATCAAAAATTATGACCTTATGATCATATAAAAACATAAATTAACAAATACTAAAAAAACAATAAAAAGAAAAATCTAAAGAAAACTAATGATGAATGGCAAGAAAGCTATTAAAAAAGCTATAAATGTGAAGATATGCCTGCAATGTGAAGAATGGACTTATAATCAATGTACAAATTTCAATTTAAAAAAACAATAAAAAGAAAAATCTAAAGAAAACTAATGATGAATGGCAAGAAAGCTATTAAAAAAGCTATAAATGTGAAGATATGCCTGCAATGTGAAGAATGGACTTATAATCAATGTACAAATTTCAATGATTTATAAGTTATGTATGTAAATAAAGATACTATAATTCTTTGTTTTTAAATTAATAAAATGGCTTTTATTATTGTTGTGTATTAATAATAATAAATAAGTTTATTAAACATCATTGAATGAATAAATTTTTGGAAAATCATTTTTACATGTAAAACGCGAACCCTTTTTTAAAATTTAGGATTCAGGCCCAAGCTTTTTTTTTGATTTTAAACTTTTATTTTAAATTACATTAAAATAATATATAAAAAACATGTAATTTACCATTTTATTTTATAATTTTTTAAACTATACAGTTCGCATCCCTCATTAAATCAATAATAAATTAAGATATTTATACCATTTATATATGTGTATAATTAAATTTTAATATACCTCAAATATAAAGAAATATATCAGATAGGTCAATTTTATAATTTACTTGGTTACTTTTATACGATATACCATTTGATTGCCTTACTAATCAATGTTAGTTTATCTAAGGATAAAAAATAACATTAGAAAATATGATTTAATTTATTAGGAACCCTATAATAAATATCCCAGATCTGCAGGCTAGGCCCTAAGCCTGGCCCTGGTCTGGAAAACATTAGTCCTAGTCCTAAATTTATCTCATAGCCAAACAAAAAATTTATCAAAAATTAGAATCACCTAATATAATAACCCAAATTAAGTTATATATTTTTTTTTACGTGATACATGATATTAAGCGCACTAGCCCTAAACGTCGTAAATATAACAAAGTTATATATACAATAGAGTAATGCTTGGTTCTCTTCTGAAAAAATCCATCAAACTGGAATAAAAAATGGGAAAATAATTATGAAGACCATCCACGATTTTTGGGCAAGCCGCAGTTACCTGTGCGCGTAAGTGGCAAAGCCACTTACTTAAACGCCCATGGGAAATAAAAAGGACAGATTAAAGCCCATGCCCGATTAAGTAAGTTTTGATTAGGGAAGGGTTGTATTAAACAAATTTATGTTTATTAAAAAAATAAATATTAAGACTTACCCCAAAACTATAGAATTAAATATTTTTCCGAACATGTTTTAATTAAGCCAAATATTGTATACATCGTTTGCTTTGATATAGGAATGGATAACGTAGAATTTTTGTTATTATGGTGGGCTAATTGTCTTAAACTAATAATACTATTTTTTAAGTTTTGTAATCAATTTATAATGCATTTTTTATTCAAGTATAAATTAGGTTAATGATGCTTACTACCAAGTGAATGTATGGCAATATTTTAAATACCAATCTAATTTGCTAAATACCGACCAAAATTTATTAAAATGTAATAAGACCCTTATTATTTAATATATTAATACGGAATCACGTGGTCGAGTCCGGCCTTCTATATATCATCCCCCCAAGGATGGAACCACCAAGTTAGAATAAGAAAAAAAACATGATCATTCCCGGGATTCGAACCCGGAAGCATAGGATAAGTAAGCCAAGCTCTTGCCTACTAGGCCATAGAGGCTTTTCAAAAATCACGATTTTTCAAATATATATTATAAATATATTTGGTAGTGCCATCCAAATGAAAAATGAACAAAATTCAAATTTGATAGATGGTACCTTAAGGTACCAAGCATCATTAACCTATAAATTAATATAAAATAATATAAATCAACACACATGTTTTTTTTATTTTTAACAAAAACATATAAAAAAAAGAAGTTGTTTATTTTTATCTAATGATTTTAAAATACGCGAACCAAAATAATATAAAAAATAGCTTGTCATCATACACAAAATAAAATTTACAACTTTATTTGAAGAAAAAAAAAATTAAATCTGTTGAGTTCATAGTTTCACATATAGCCTAAATATTTAAATAAAAAAAATTATCTTTATAATTTTTTAAATTTAAAAAAATATATATGGTGAATTCCATATTAAATCAACCAAAAAAAAGTCGATTCTCAACCCGACCCCCTTCAATTTTTCTTAAATTTTACATAATAGTAGTATATACTATAACTAAGAAAAAAATTAAATTTTACCTCCCAACAACGTATACCCGCTAAGATATGGGCGTTTAAAGCGCAGAAAAATGGAACATTTTTGACAAAATGTGCCTCATTTATTTTCAAATATCTCGAGAAATAATTAAGTTAGAGAAATAATTTAAATTTTATTATGTAGCTTAATAATAGTTCTTTAATTTGACATACAAATAAATATGATATAAATCTAATTAATATCGAAAACCCGAAATGGCCATAGAAAAAAAAGGTATTTTTTTTTTAAATTTTTTTTTTGTACACTGCTTTATGATTGTACAAAATCCTAGACTGGGATGAACATGGGCCTAAGAGTTATGAGTCTTTATATGGCTAAAATTGAACAAATTTAACATAAATATCTTCATTTAATAAATATTTATGAAATAATATTTATTTAAAAATTATGTCTAAATGATAGGCCCTTACTTTTTTTTATTTTTAACAAAATTTTTGAGAAGTGGCTGGGATAATGTGATTTATTTAACACTCAAGTTATATGTGACTCGAAATTACTTGACAAAATAATTCTAAACATATTTATAACTTTAGCAGTTAGGGAAAAGAGTATTCTCTCGAATCCCAATATTATTAAGCCAAGTCGTATTATTTAAGAAGATATTATGGAGAAAGTAAAAAAAAATTATGATTCTTAGGAAAATAGTAGGCTTATGTCAGGCAAAAATAATTTTATATCAATGAATGTAAATTGGAAAAAATCAAGTTGAGAAAAGACTAATTTTATATAATATTAAAGAATTTTTCATTCACTTTAGAGAGACTCATGACGATATACAGTTAGGTTTGAGTAGATTTGCTTTCTTACGACCTAAAAACTGTGTTTTAGCAGGTGATCCAGGTACACATACCATGTGTATCTTCACATTACATCAAAATTTTAGGCTTATTTTAATAGGTGGAGAATTACAACAGCTAACAAACAATATTTGTCATTATAATTATCCTCCAATCAACGATTATAAACATTGTATTGCTGAAAGTCTTTGCAATTCAGCCCAGCCAGTATGTTATTTAAATAAATGTAATTTTGCCCCGGATCTTCCAAAATAAAAGAAAGACTTATTATATTATTTGACATGAATTCAATCGATTATATAACATTCAAACAATGGTTAGCAGTTGATCGAACTACCCTCAAAACGCTGACAAAATCAGCTGACGAATTCGTAGATTATTTAATTGAGAAAACCAAAATTTATTATTTTTCTTGATGGGGCAGTAACCTAATATAAAAATAAAAAGAACTGTATAAATCTATAATCATGAAAATGGTTTTGGGATAAAGGCGGAGTGGCATTTTTTTGCAACGGCTCATGGCAAAAGTCCCTGCAACAGTTTAGGGGGGTTACAAAACGACTAGTCGAGCAAGCTTGCAACGCCCATATCAAAATCACATATTGACAATAATGGATTTATTTAGCTGTACAAGAAATAATATATGGAGTAAATTAGATATTTGTAAGCAATAATGAATATATCAACATGGAAAATCATATAGAAAGCAGGTTTTTTAGAGCAAAAAAATTTCGGGAACACAAAAGTACCATGCTTTTATTCCCCTTGACGAAAACAAAATAAAAGTCAAAATTTATTTAATTCTTTAGATGATTTAATATTTGATATATTTTATACATAATTATGAATTATTATATTATATGTAATTATGCATTTCAGACAAATAAAGTTATAAATATGTTTAGAATTATGTCAAGTAGTCACAATATAACTTGAGTGTTAAATAAATTACAATATCCCAGCCACTTCTCAAAAATTTTGTTAAAAATAAATAGACATAATTTTTAAATAAACATTTCATAAATTAAATGAAGATATTTATGTTAAATTTGTTCAATTTTAGCCATATAAAGAAGCATAACTCTTAGACCCATGTTCATCCCAGTCTAGGAATTTGTACAAACATAAAGCAGTTATCTATCTACAAAAAAAAATTTTGAAAAAAAAAAACCTTTTTTTTCTATGACCATTTCCGGTTTTATACTTCCGGTCGATATTAATTAGATTTATATCATATTTATTTGTATGTCATATTAAAGAACTATTATTAAACTACATAATAAAATTTAAATTATTTCTCTAACTTAATTATTTCTCGAGATATTTGAAAATAAATGAGGGACATTTTGTCAAAAATGTACCATTTTTCCGCGCTTTAAACGCCCATATCTTAGCGGGTATACCTTGTTGGGAGGTAAAATTTCATTTTTTTCTTAGTTATAGTATATACTAGCAGTATGCAAAATTTAAGAAAAATTGAAAGGGGTCGGGTTGGAACCTTGGTTGATTTGATATGGAATTCACCATATACAAATATCTAAAATTGTTATGTTATTTGTAAATATAAAATTAGTGAGTATAAATATACCAAGGGAGCAAACGTATCTTCATATACCATTCTAATTTTATCTGATTTTTGATATTAAAGTCATTTATCTTTTAAATAAAATATATATTACTTTTCTTGCTATATAAATTTATTTATTAGAAATAAATAAATATTTTTTTTTATTTGATAAAGATATTATTAATTACCTATGGACGTCTGTAAAGGGCTTCTAATCATAAACATTCGGCTATCGGATCGTATATAAATATTTAAGAAAAATATTTATTCACCATCCTTATTATAAAGTTTATATATTCAAGATTGCTATATAGCAAAAACAAAATCAACCATTGAAATAATTTATAATAGAGAAATAT